GAGAAGGAAGGTGATCAGTCTTCTTCCCTCTTAGTACCAATTCAGTATAATGGTGTACAATGCATCATTCACCAAATTCATGCACACACATGCCTATATAAACCTCTCAAAACATCAACCTCTCATCTCATACTACAAAATCACTACTATGCTTAAACAACTAATCAAAACCACATCAACATACAACATGCACAGAAGTAAGTACATTTCAAATCCACATATCCATAATCCAATCCAAATCCATATAAACAACATATACATACATGCATACATATATATATATATATATATATATAATATATCTATCAATTAGCTCGGTATTTCCATGGCGTTACACTCAAAATTTATTATAAATATAAAATATAATTTATATATCTAAAAATTTCATTTATATAAATTTAAATATAATTTATATAGTCAAGTATAATATTTATATGTATATTTTATATTATAAATTTGAATTATGTATAATAAATATTGTTGATACTAAAATAGTTGTTAAAGTAATTTAATAATAACACATCTATCTCGTGAGTATATCCTTCGCTTTCATCCTTTATTATGACTCTGCACCGACTATATAGTATGACGCATTCCCATTTCCTGGTCCCATAAATGTTGATTAGTTGATTTGATTCATCCATTTTATTTATTTTATTTTTTTCTGTGCTATGCACGTATATATATATATATATTCCACATTTATAAAAATTCATAATTCTATCGAAACTAAATACAATGAATCGTAATCAAGACAAGACGTGGAAGCTTAACTGATGAAATGATTAGTCAATTGTGTTAGGAAAATGATAAATTTTGCAAAGGCCAATCCAAGAAAAAAGATGGAGACCTAACTACCAATTATGATTTTCATTCATTGTCAACTTTCATCAACTTGTGCAAATGCCCAACCAATCTCACTCTCAATCGCTCAACTGAAATAGATTTAGACGTTAATCGGAACGATACGTACAATTAAAATACCAATTCCTTATATAATGTCAATCACAAAAGCCATTGGAATTTTCTCAAAAAACAAATGATTTTGGATCCGCTAATCTTTCTTCATAATAAATCAATCACATTATCAAAATTGGGAGTTTATACCACACATAATTTGGATAGATTGCCAGAAACAATCCGGTAGCCATTGAAATAGATTACCCAATTGAGTCAGGCCAAGCCAGTATAAGCTTTTTATTTTAAGAGTTAAATAAAATGAATCAATTTGATATACCTTGACAAGCTAATAGATTAAATTAAATCACAACATAAGCAACTCATAAAAAATATCATATCATATTAAAGATTTATTTCTTTAATTTAGACAAATTCACAAATTGGTAACCTGAAAATAGGGTCGTCTAAAAAATTTGAAGAACATAATTGACAAGAGACGAAATGAGAATCCATAAGAGTAGAGAGTAAGAAGAGAGGAAAGATTTTTCGAAATGCTCAAATGGTGTTACAGATGCCTTTATTTATAGAGTTACGAAAGCTCATAAACCATCCAAAAATTAAGAGATAAATCTTATCCATAAATAGATTGGATAGACTTTATCTAAATATGACACTAGACTCGGTAGAGTCAAACGAGATTTTAAAGACTGAGCCAACTCTTAATTTGAACATAAAAAATAATTATTTTTTGATAATATTTGCCTCAATTAAAATAATTTAATATAATACATATTTGAACTACAACGGACTTACAAGACCCATTTTCATGTATGTGAGTTCAACACCCTTTGCTTGCCCCTTTTGAAGTGTTCGAAACACCGCGATATATAAAGACTCAACACTTAAGTTGTCCAAATAATATGAGACTTATTCTTTTTGAAATAACATGCACACACACATATATATATATATATATAGAGAGAGAAAGAGAGAGAGGATGGATCCGTTTACTCCATAGTAAGTCTACCTAGACTCATTCTATTCAATAACTCATATTTTACATCAAATTTGAATGATCCAACCGTTGAATTTAAAGTTTTTAATGTATAGATCAAGTCTGTAAATTTTTAAAAAATTTGAAAACCATTTGATACTTCATTTCATTAATTTAAATTAATGTATAAAATGATTTTATGATTATTTATTAATTTGAATTAATGAAATGAAGTATCAAATAATTTTTAATTTTTTAAAAATTTGCAAATTTAATTTATACATTAAAAACTTTAAATTCAATGGTTAGATCGTTCAAATTTGATGTAGAACGTGAGTTATTGAACATAGTAAATTTAGGTAGATTTACTTATGGAGTAAACGGATCCCTCTCGTATATATTACCCTGAAGCATACTCTCACGAAGGATAATAGTTGTGCAGACGTGTTTCATAAAATTGGATCTGAACTTTAGTATTGCATTGTAAGAATTGAATGTGCCATACTATCATCTATTGAACTTCACCACTTACTACTAGATAATGCGAGTGGGGTATCTTACATACGCTTTAATTTTCTATTATTTTCCTTCTTCATCTTACGTTAAAAAAAAAAAAACACCAAACTGGACCGACACATTTGATAGTTCTAATATGTTTATTCTCAAATAAATGCTAAGCTAGGACACCTCATAATGGATTATCACAAAGACAATGACTAATAATTAAAAAAAGGCTTTCGGATTTATTTGATTGGCATAAGAAAATGACAAGTAATTCAAAAAGGGTTTATGGCTCCACGGAATATAGCACTCCAAGGAATCAAATATGGCACTCCACGCGGGAAAAGAACTCTACATGGCCTTTATGTGGAAGGGTCATCAAAGCGAAGCTAAGTTAATTGAGACAATGCAACTTCTCTTTACGATAGAGACGCTGTGACCGATTTTATTATGTGTTTGGACCACCACACCAATGTTGAGGACCTAGCTGCTCCAATGCACACCAAATAAAGTTGACAAAAAGATTACCACAACTACAATGTTGGGACCTAGTTTTGCTATCGTTTCATATATGCTTTCGTTTTGAAGATCAGGACTAAAATATATAAAAAAAACTATAGCATAAGAGACAATTGATCCATTCCTTTTCTTGTCATTGTAAGTTTCTTTAATTTAGGGGAAGAAAAGTGCACATTG